GGGCTGTCACGCCCCCACAGCCCTCCAGCTGCCAGGTTTAGGGTATGAATGGGGAAGGGGGTGTCCCCACACTCCCACTAGCTGTATGCACTTGGGCACAGGGATCACCACAGCCCTAACACATCATCTCCACCCAAAATAAAAGCCTGGAGTGCCAAATTCATGGGGGGAAGATGAACAGGCACCACCCCTGCAGCCCATGGTGGGCAACCACCCCATGCCCTGCCAGGATGAGCAGGAGGGGATGTGGTGTCAATGCACCCAGGCTCCTTGGCACATCCAGCCCAGCCCCAGCTCCCACTGTCCCCAGATAGAGGGCAGAGCAAAAAATCATGGTTGGACTTGATGATCTTAGAGGCCTTTTCCAACCCTAACGATTGTATGGTTCCATGATCTCGCAGTGGAAGGTGGGTGGCCAGGACCCCGGAGTGAAGAGGCACAAGCCAAAGGGGGCAGCTTCTCCCGGGCTGTGCCGAGAGCCAGCAGGATGCTGCAGGGTCACCCTGCAAGGAGCAATCAGGAGCATCCAGGGCAGCTTGCCTGGCAGCGGGAGCTCTGGCACCAGCCAAGTATGACAAGCATGGCACGTAGGCGGTGAGCTCTGCTCGGGGACAATCGTGCCGTTGGGGATTAACAGCCCAACTTCTCCAGCAGAGAGGGAAGGAACTGTACCACAGCAGCCTCAGGCCATGAACCACCTTCACCACAAACGAGCCCCCATGACAAATGATGACGCTTGCTTTGATCAATCACTGTCCCCCCAACAAGGCTGAGGGGTCTGGCACAGCCAAACAGCAGCTCCCCTGTTCCCTGACGCGGAGAGGTGTGAGTTCTGTCACCGAGCAGGCTGTGGAGACAGCCTGGGAGAGGACTTGCCCTCAGCACAAGGACAAAATGCAAACAAGATGACGGGGAAATCTCTTGGGCCCTGGCTGTCAAGAGACGTCTGGGATATTATAAATCACACTGGCTATTTGAATGCAGCTGGGTTTAATGCAGAAGGCAAGAACGAGGTCATTCAAGGAGTTAAAGGCATCAGCAGTTTTCACCCAAGTGGTGAGGGTCAAACTGTGTCCCTTCCCACCAAGGTCAGGTGAACAGGCTTGTGGACACAGTGCTGTCCCCATCCCCAAGGAGCACTCCTCCCCAGGAGCTTGAAGGGCTCAAACATCTGTCCCAACAGGGAGAGCAGGGACACAGGAAGGCCACACTGCCCTTGCACAGTGCTGAGGTCTGCAGCCAAGTGTCACCAAGGGCTCACATCCCACCTCTCAGGGGACACCATCCTGCCCAGGCAGGCTGTGCACAAGCAAGTGAGCTTTGCTCACCATCTCTTCTGCTTCCTGTGCTCAGTGTGGGCTTGCAGCTGGGAGAAGGTTCCCAAAGAGCACGGTGCTTTGGAAAAGCAGCCCTGCAGCAGCTCAGAGCAGCTCTCAACCATTCCTGGGTCCAGCGAAGCGGGAAGGCGCAGGGGCCGCGGCGGAGCAGGGCTAACAATGCAGGCCCTGAACCAGACGTAATGGAGCAATGCCCACAGTCAGTTGTTCTTGCTCCGTTTGCTGAACCCCCAGCCACAACTTACACGTCCTAGAGGGAGAATTGGTTTTATTTTTGGTATGTCACAATGTTTTAGTTTGTATTGAATGGCCCTATAAAATCTTAGTAAAGGCAGCTTTTTTGGTTAAAGAGAAATGTCATCCCTGATGCAAACTGGATGGTAACACTTGGCTCGTTTTCTCCTAACTGCAAAATGCACACAGGCTTTTTACTCTGACATTAAGTTTCCTTAAGCTGCTCTAATGCCTGCAGGGGCACGTAGGGGTGAGAGTAGAGCTGAGCATTCAGGATCTGGGAGAGAATAATTTCGGTGTCACCAAGGCTGCACCAAGCTTTTCTTCGGGCTGCTTGATCACCAAGTCAGATGCTGCATGCACTAATGAGGACCAGAAGTCAGGAGCTGAAGATAAATTAAGAATTTGACATTGACCTTCACAATCAGCACCAGACAGTTCTTGGTGATCATTTCAGACAGTGTCTCTAAGACAAACTTCACAAAAACAAATCTTTGTGGTAGAAACTGCCTTCAGAGTCTGCTACACACAAAGAGAAGGTGGCTGAGGGTTGGTCTGTCAGGGAACCACCAACACACAGTGACCTTTCTATCAGTCAGCAGGCTTTGTCATCCCACTTCGATCGCTCAGCACAGCGGCAGCTCTCACTGCAGCCCTGCTCGCTCTTGCTTTGCTGATTCCCCTGCAGCTCCCATCAAAACAGCCCCAGCGACACGAGATACAAACGTTAACAGAGCCTGCTACGCCAGCAGGAAAGCTCCCGAGAGCCAGCTCAGGCGCTGCCAGCCCCAGCGTGATGTGCAGAGCCAGGGGCGATGTCAGGAGCTGCAGGGACAGCCAGCAGCACCCTGTCCCAGCCCCTCCGCAGGGGAAGCGCAGCGGGAAACGCCGAGGCTTTGGCTGCAGCCAGGCATGTGGGGCTAGAACGCAGGTCTGGGGCTGGCTGGTGCTGCAGGGAGGTTTGTAACAGGCACCATCACTCCTCCTGCAGCTCCTTCTTCCGAAAGGCCTGGAGCCTCCTCCCCACTGTCTGCTGGACGATCTCCAGACCCTCAGCATCCAGTTCCTTCATGAGAAGCAGGACGGCATTCAGGATATTGTTCTGTTGGGAGGAGACAGACACTTTTATACCAACCTGTTAACAGCAGCCTGGAAAAGGATGCTCGATTTTCTAAGAGCTCCTCTTTCTAGGAACTCCACCACCACTGGCAGCAGTTTGTCACAGCCACCTGCAGTTCCAGGGACAAATCAACCAAGCCCTTGGGGAAAACGTGGGCAGAGTGGCATGTGACAAGGCAAAGTGGAATGCCGGACAAACCCGTCCACCCAGTCCCCCAGTCCCGCACAGGCTGCCCGCATGCCTCTGGCTCCTGGCCACCCTCCCAGCTGGCTTCTGTAAGGAAAGGCTCATTCAAGAGCGGCCGCCCTCTCGCTCCAGCATGTCCATGTGTAGGATGGAAAAGGAAAGGAACCCTGCAATCTGAGGAATGAGAAGAGCTGGTAGAATCACTAGAGCAGGAGCTGGAAGGAATCCTTGAAGGTCGCCAGCCCAACCTCCCACCAATGCAGGACTACTGCCAACGCCAGACCATGGCTCTGTCAAACCACATCTTGAAAAACTCCAGGGAGAGATTCTGCAGCGTCTCCAAATAACTGTCCTGCTAGGGGAAATATTTTTCCCAATGTCCAACCTAAGCCTCTCAAGTACATTTAAAAGATGAACAGAAGAAAGATTGCAGGCAACTAATACAAAAATGAGGCAGAACGTGGTCTAGATCTCATCCTGCTGGTTGAAGCAATGGCCCCAAACCCAGCAGACAGCAATTCCCAGCTGAGCAGCCAAGATCCATGAGGTTCACTCAAGGCTACACCATGGAGGGGTTTGAGGAACCACTTAAGCTTTTGATTCAGCAGACCAGGACAACAGGCTGCCGGCTGCATTTCAGCTGCTGCTCAACTGCCACGTGTTCTTAGCATAGTCCCAGTGAAGGGACACACATGAGCTCATGTGCAGACAGATCAAGAGGACAAACTCCATCGGGCTTTCTGTAGATTGCATCATGTCTTAAAGATAAAACAGAGCAGAAAGACTAGACTAGACTAGAACAGAATATTTCAGTTGCAAAGGACCTACAACAATCATCTAGTCCCACTGCCTGACCAATTCAGGGCTGACCAAAAGTTAACCCATGTTGTTGAGGGCATTGTCCAAACACCTCTTAACACTGACTTGGGCACTGACCACCTCTCCAGGAAGCCTGTTCCAGTGTCTCCATCCTCTCAGTAAAGAAATGCTTCCTAACGTCCACTCTGAATGTCCCCGGCACAGCTTTGAACCATTCCCACATGTCCTATCACTTGATACCAGGGAGAAGAGCTCAGCACCTCCCTCTCCATGTCCCTGCCTCATGAAGCTGTAGAGAGCAAAGAGGTCGCCCCTCAATCTCCTTTTCTCCAAACCCGCCACCAGCTTTGTTGTCCTCCTCTGGACGCATTTGAAAACCTTCACATCCTTCTCAAATGGTGGGGCCCAGAATTGCACAGGATGAAAAGCAATTTGGTCTTCAAAAGGTACTCACTCTCTTCTTTCGGTTGCAGTCTGTCTCTCCAGGTGAAAAAGAAGAAAATTTATCCCTGCGAACAGGCTTCATACCAAGCTCCTCTCGAATTTTGCTAAAAAAGGGGAGGAAGAGCAAACGTTACTATGACCAGCTGGCAGAATCTTCCTCTGCCAGGCCAAGCCAATCCTTTCTAATCACAGGCAACCATGCCAGAAGTATCTAGCTAAAGGACTCAACAACACATCTGTACACACACAACCACTGCCAACAGACCACAACACCCCACGCAAATCTCCCACACAGAGCCTCACAGCTATAAAATGTAAATGAGGACGCTGGTACAAGCTGTCTGCTCACAGCCCAACCTGGGAGGACAGATGCCCACACCCAATGCCAGCTGGGACAGCAGACCACGTAACACCGCACTCAAACACTGCGCGCCGCAGTGCTGACATGCGCCAAAGCGCTCGCAGAAGCGGAGATAAGCAGGA